GCACCCAGTCCCGGCTTCCCCAGCGCGCCGAGGCAGGGCGGAGCGGCTGGACTCCGCCCGGAGCCGGGAAGCGAAGCCACTCCCGCCTGCCCGGCGCGGGAGCCCGGGGGCGTCATGGAGCCCCGGGTGGTTGCGGATGCTGTGGAGGCGGGAGAGGAGGACGTGATTATGGAGGCTCTGCGCACGTACAACCGGGAGGTGAGCGAGAGCCGTGAACGTGGTACATGCACGGAAGAGGTGGGGCAGGGTGGGGCACGCGTTGTGGCCGGTCCTGAGATCGTGTGTGCGGCGAGGGGCCTGCGGGCGGTGGAGCGCAGCGGGAGGGGCGCCGAGTCCGTGAGGAGTTGCTAGGGGGAGAGAGTCTGCGTGCACACACTGAGGGGCGGGGGTGGAGCGCCATCTGTTCAGGGGGGGCCTGTGGACTCGGGACCCCACCCACGGAGCCCCCTGAGCCTCTGGGTCTCTCTGCAGAACTCCCAGAGCTTCACGTTTGATGATGCCCAACAGGAGGACAGGAAGGTGGGTGCTGACCGAGGGGTAAAGGGGCAGGCATGGGTGGCCCCGGGTAAAGGGGCCTGGTGGAGCCGCTCTTCTCCCTGCCCACAGAGACTGGCGGAGCTGCTGGTCTCGGTCCTGGAGCAGGGCTTGCCGCCCTCCCGCCGCGTCACCTGGCTGCAGAGCATCCGCATCCTGTCCAGGGACCGCAGCTGCCTGGACCCTTTCACCGGCCGCCAGAGCCTGCAGGCACTCGCCCGCTATGCTGGCATCGCCTTCGAGCAGTCGGCCCCGGAGCCTCTGGACATGGACGTTGTACTCGAGTCCCTTAAGTGCCTGTGCAACCTCGTGCTCAGCAGCCCGGTGGCACAGGTCCTGGCAGCAGAGGCCCGCCTGGTGGTGAGGCTCGCAGAGCGCGTGGGGCTGTATCACAAGAGCAGCTTCCCACACGACATCCAGTTCTTTGATTTGCGCCTCCTCTTCTTGCTAACGGCACTTCGCACCGACGTGCGCCAGCAGCTGTTTCAGGAATTGCGGGGAGTGCACCTGCTGACTAATGCGCTGGAGCTGACGCTGGGAATGACCCCCGAAGAGAACGCGCCTGAGCTCCTTCCTCCCCAGGAGACTGAGCGGGCCATGGAGATCCTCAAAGTGCTTTTCAACATCACCTTCGATTCCATCAAGAGAGAGGTGGACGAGGTGAGGACTGACCTGAGGCCACGGGTAGGGCTTAACGGTGTGGATGTTTCTTGGATCTGTCTGCCTGTAGGGTACCTGCAAGTTTCTGGGTATCAGATGGGGAGAGGACAGGCAGAGCTCTCAGCCTATCGGGAGGAGGCGAGGAGATGCACGTTTTGGGCAGGGGGCCTCAAAGAATGTTTCTAAGAGAGGTGGAGGCCATATCTGGCTCTTGCAGCCTGGCAGGAGGACTGTTTGGTGCGTGGGGAGGCCGTGAGCATGGGGCTAGAGGACACTGTGACTTCATCCCAGGAGGACCTGGTGACGTTCTTGGTCAAGGAAATGCTCTCGAGGGTATGTAGCAGAGGCCAAGGGGCTAGGTGTGCAGTGAAGGAGATGTGTGGTCCGTGCACATGATTCCGGAGTGGGGCTTCCTCTCACAGGGACCCCTTTCTTTTTGGTCAGGAAGATGCTTCCCTTTATCGGCACCTGGGGACCATCCTGCGGCACTGTGTGATGGTTGCTGCTGCTGGAGACCGCACAGAGGAGTTCCACGGGTGAGGGTGGGGCCTGATAGGTGGAAGGGAAGTGTGCTCAGTTGTCTGGAGAGTGGTTCCCAGCCCTGGCTGTGGGCTAGGCTCAACCCTAGAGCGTCCTCACTTATCTCGGTGGGACCAGACATCGCTGTGTTTCTACAGTACGTCAGTATGTGGCTAGGACAAGAGCTATGGATCTGAGGATGGGAATGTCTCTCTGGAACTGGGGTAGTAGTAACGAATAATGTGGTGTTGACAGGGTAACGTGCTTACTCATCTTTGTCTCAGTGACCTGTGTCTAGGCAGGTTCTGGTTTTCCAGAGATTGTCTGTGGTGCTTCAACCCAGACAGAGCCTGGCAGGGAGGGCATCTGCAGACAGTGCCCCCTTCCTTAGGAACTTACCCCATTAAGTGGAAACACCTCCAAGGTCGGTCCCACCCTCAGCTCTGGTCTCTGCTTCCTGTCGTCAAGCCCCCAGACACTAGTTCATGTCATGTGTGGCCTCTGCTGGGGACACCAAGGGTTGTACCTGTGCTAGGGGATCTGACTTATCAAGCCCTCCTCCCCATCTATCCTCAGCCACACAGTGAACCTCCTGGGGAACTTGCCCCTCAAGTGTCTGGACGTCCTCTTTGCCCTGGAGCCACGCAAAGGCTCCTTGGAGTTCCTTGGAGCGAATATGGATGTGATTCATGTCCTTCTCAGCTTCCTGGAGAAGCGTCTGCACCAGGTGGGCAGAGGGACCTGACGTGTGGGCTCCTCGGTGGCTCTGACTTTCCCAAGCAGCCGTGGTCACTGCTTTTTTACAGTCCACACTGGTAAGTGGACATCAGCCTGGAAGTGTGATTCGGGCGGTTTCTCCAGCTGCTCTGTGGTCCAGCTTGCAGAAAACCAGACTCCTCCCTGAGAAACAGGTGGACCCTCTCACACACACACTTGAAGGTGTTACTTTTGCTGGTTACTGTAACAAGTTTTCAAAGTCAAAGAGCGTACTCTTCAGAGCGCTTTGTGGGTCTGTCTTGAGTCCGTGCTCGGGCCGTCAGGGTCTTAGTGCTGTAACACAGGCAGCCCTTGGGAACGAGCATCACTTGTCTCCTGGCGTCCCTGAGGGGACCCACCGGCATCTGGAGCCAGAGGCTACCTGATTCCTGTGCCTGCACACAGGACACTGGGGGGGCCAGACCTCTAGTTGCTCCTCTGGGAGCTCGCAGACATCACGCAGGCTGCAGATGGGAGTGGAGTGAGATTAGGTGGACCCCTTGGGAATCCACTTGGTCACATACGCTGTGAGCTGGGTCACCTGCGTTGGACGTGGTATCTGTGATTGTCTGTCCCTACCACTACTGCGGCTAGGGTTGGGGTCCTGGGAGGTAAGTGGGGGCAGGCCAGGGAAGAAGAGGAGCTCTTTGCTCTCTGGGTCCATGAAGCCCACAGAGTAGGGATTTTTCTTGTGTTTTGGCCACTATTTTTTGAGGACAGGTCATGTCCTCTTGGTGTGCTGATGGCTGTGAACACTGTATTTCCCCCACAACTTTGGTATATAGGTGAGGAAGTCAGAGTAGATGAGTTACTTGCCCCACGTCGCAGAGCACATGCGAACCCTCCTAAGCTGAGTTCCTTCTGCGGCCCTCTTGAAGCTCACACAGACACCCACTGCCCACTCTTGGCCCCTCAGCTGACTAACTGTGGCAAGGCCTCTTCCTGAGAGCCTCCTACCAGGACCAGACCATCTGGTGTGTGTGTGTAGGCCGCCCTCCACCCCACCCCCGACCTCAGGTCAGGTGGAGGCACAGCCCCGGTGACAGAGGCTCTTCTGCAGACGCACAGGCTGAAAGAGAGCGTGGCCCCGGTGCTGAGCGTGCTGACGGAGTGTGCCCGCATGCACCGCCCTGCCAGGAAGTTCCTGAAGTCCCAGGTATGGGGCAGAGGGGCTGGGGTAGGGCCCTGGTCAGAGCCAGCCACTTCAGGCCCAGGCTGAGGGACGGCTGCCTCCCCAGGTGCTGCCCCCACTGCGGGACGTGAGGACCCGGCCTGAGGTTGGGGAGTTGTTGCGGAACAAGCTCGTTCGCCTCATGACACACCTGGACACTGATGTGAAGAGAGTGGCCGCTGAGTTCCTGTTTGTCCTGTGCTCTGAGAGTGGTGAGTGCTGGGATCCAGCCCAACGCCTGTCCCTCCCAGCCACCTTCGCACACTGACCTCTGCCCTGCCCCTCAGTGCCCCGATTCATCAAGTACACGGGCTACGGGAATGCCGCCGGCCTCCTGGCTGCCAGGGGCCTCATGGCGGGGGGCCGGCCTGAGGGCCAGTATTCGGAGGACGAGGACACGGACACAGATGAGTACAAGGAAGCCAAGGCCAGGTGTGTGACCCTACACCCTCGGCTCCCCTCACTCAGCCTGGTCCCTGTTCCCACACCCCTATGGACCCTCGGGGTGGGTGGGACAGGATGACAGATGGGTAGGACTTGGGGAGTCAGACACGGGTCCCATAAGCGATACATCCTGAGGTCAGGATGTTTCGTTGAGAACGTGGACTGAAGGGGGCCAGGCAGTTCGGGGACCAGGAGATCCAGGTGGCAGGAGCTGGTTCACTGCTGCTCCTAGAGGGAGGCCTCCTGCAGCTGCCCTGCTTCATGCCACCCCCTGGAGAATGGGTTTCTTGCCAGTCCAGGCCCAGGCAGGACGTGTGGGACTCCACCCACCCTGTGCAGAGGCCTCCTGTCCTAGAGAGTCACTAATGCATTCCCTACACCCCCTCCTCTGGGAAGCAGCATAAACCCAGTGACCGGGAGGGTGGAGGAAAAGCCGCCCAACCCCATGGAGGGCATGACGGAAGAGCAGAAGGAGCATGAGGCCATGAAGCTGGTGAACATGTTTGACAAGCTCTCCAGGTACGTGGTGTGTCAAGGAGGGGCCCACGGCTGGGAGAAGGGAGAACAGAATCCCTGGCCTGTGTCCAGTCTTGTGAGCCCCAGGAGGTGAGGTCAGAGGTGGGCTTAGGCAAGGCTGCATTCCTAAGGTTTGAAACAAAGGAAACGCCCCAGGAAAGGATTAGATTTGAGATTGGTATTATGTTTGTTCCGTAGATGATGAAAATTGAGATCTAGATAAATTAATAAGAGTCTGCACAAGGTCCCAAAGCCACCAGGTAGCAGTTGGGATTCCCCAGTAAACAGGAACAACTAAGTGGAGCACAAGGAAGTAGTCAGGGTTGAACAAGACTTCTGCCACCACCCACCGTGCACCCCCCCCCCGCCCCCCCAGTCAGACCCCTTCCCCAGCCTCACCATGCTTTTCCCTCACAGGCACAGAGTCATCCAGCCCATGGGGATGAGTCCCCGGGGTCAGCTGACATCCCTGCAGGATGCCATTTGTGAGACCATGGAGGGGCAGCTCTCCTCGGAACCCGACTCAGACCCCGACTGAGGACAGCAGTCTTCTGTTCCCCCTTCAGAACTGGTGCTGCTTCCAGAGATGTCCTTGGGACTATGACCCGGGGAAGCCATGTCCCTCTCTCCAGCTCAGAGACCCCTTTCTCTTTACTTCCAAAGTTCTGTTAATGATTTGTCTCTGGTCCAATTTCTTACCTTTAGGACTGTGAGGGCCTTGTCCTGCTGCAGCTCTGGGAACTCAGCCTTGATTTCCACAGATGAAGTAGTTCTCACATGTGTGCCAAGAGGATGTGTGCAGAGGCTGATGCCTGGGGCAGAGGCTGAGCGTGGGCACACACAAGCATGTCTGGGTCTGGCACGCTTGCCCAGAGCTTCCATGTCAAGCAAGCGCTGCAGTTCACGGGAAAAGAACTTGCTAGAACTGTGTGTACTAATGTCAGAAACATACTTCCAAGGTATGCTCTGCTGTTTCTGTCCCCACTGAGCTCAGGACTGGTAGCCTCTTAGGCGTCCTTGGTCCTCGCTCGGCTGTCTGCTGTAGTATCCACAGCACCCAAGCTCTCACCGGTTGTGACAGTGGAATCCTGACCATAAATAGATGAAGCGAAGTGCACCTCTTAGAGCCCTAAGTCTGGATTTCTATCACCTGCCACAAAGCATCACAAAAACATCATCTTGGAATAAAGAGTTTGAAGCAAAAGTGTGTGATTAATTTCATTCTTTTCAGAATTCGGCCCTTTTCCTAGATCATTAGTCATGTCTTCTGTTCTTGAGGAGGCCACCAGACCCCCTCTGAGCAGTCTGTTAATTGTGCCACGGGTGGGGAAACAATGCCTGGAAGGAGGGAACACACACAGGGTAGGAGCCAGGGATCAGGAAGGTGTGCCTGGGTGGTGCTGTCCAAGCTGGGCCTTGGAGCAACCCCAGCAGAAAGGGCCTGTGCAGGCACAGGAAGTATGGGCTGAGTACAGGGTGGGCCAGAGGCCAGCCAAGGTTTCTAAGTGAGTAATGCCTTCCACAACATAGAGGTTAATCCTGGGGGCATTGCTGGGAAGGCCTGGAGGGGGAGAGTGGGGACAGGGGGCTGGTTGGAGAGCTGCCCGAGCAGAGGACTTTCTGGGGGAGAGGTTGAGGCGAGAGGCATCAGGGTAGAGTGAACAGGGCATGATGCCCTTCAGTGAGGGGTGCCGGGGCTCCATGGGAAACGGCACTAGGCCCGTCTCCAGGGTGAATCCAGGGGCATGTTCTCCATCCTTAGGTTATTCCAGTGGGGGGAATGTCCATGCACATGCAAGGTCCCCTTTTCACATTCATTGTCAACATTCCCTTTAAGGAGACCAAAGAGTTTATTTCATGCCAGAAATGAAGAACAAAGTTTCTCTAATTAAAAATAACCCTACTAAGGAGGCCAACATGCTACAGGACCCTATCCTATTACGTGGGGCCCAGGACCATGCCTTGGGAGTGGCTGTGGCCACTCCACCCGAGACGGTTTTTCTAACGGACAGATGCTGAGCCTGCCCTTCAGATGGAGACCCAGACACAGAGCAGATCCAGTCTGGGCCTCCCGTTGGTCCGCTGGAGTTCCAGAGGGTCACTGTCAGGAGAAAGCTTTTGTTCGGCATCAAGAGCTTCAGCAGACTGAAGAGTCAAACAGCAGAAAGGCGCTGGGCAGCTTGGTGCCCGTGACTGGGATGGCCCGCAGCGTAAGCATGACATGATCCGTCAGCACAGAGCTCAGGACCCAGGCAGCCTCATACTCTTCCTCAGGCCACAGGTTCCGACTCAGCCAAAACTTTTCTCAGAGGTGGGCAGTGACTCCTTGGAACCATTTCTGGTCCAGGGTGGGGTGGGGAGGGCGGGGACCAGGCATCACTCTTATCTGTCCCGTCTGTTAAGCTGGAACACGGAGGAGAAAGGCAATCAGTCCCACAGATCTCAGGGCCTGGGTTCAAACTATTTCATAAAACAAAAGCTTTTCTGCTTCTGCCAATGCTGCTGTCGAGCCAAAGTAACACGATGTCCAGCAGGACTGGACAAAACTGGGTGGCTAACCAGAAAGCTTCATTTAAGTAACCAGGTGAGATGTGCTGAAGCTCACATGCTCAAAAATAGGCACTATTTGGGAAAGTAACCCCAAGTTGGACTGCAGCTCATCCCTCAATATTTACTCTTGGATAGCAACTTTTTATTATATACATAAACCCCTAAAACCAGAACCCACTTTATATAAATTTCCGTAAGACTGTAAAATCACACAGGTAGAATCCTGTAGGACTACTTCCAAAAAATCCCTGGGGGGGGTCACGTGACTTAGTCTTGTTGTATGGAAATAGGACGTCAGGGCCAGGAAGCTACCAGGCGGATCTGACCAAGGCACCTGGTGCAAAATATAGGCTTGGGTGCCACCTGCCTTCTCTACTTCCATAAAATGACCAGCAACATAACTTTGACATTTATGAGATAAGGAGTGATACCAGCCTACATCTTAGCCATTAGAGCTAAACTCTGGAACGGACAGCTAGAAAAAACAGTGGCCACAATGTCTAAAACGTGTGGAAACAGTAAGCGCGAAGCCTCCTGGCCTAATAGGCCTCGTGTTCTTTCTTCAGTTCAACTTGGTAAGAAACCAGGCTGCAGCCAGAGGCTGGGGGCTTTGGCCAGTGAAGGTGAGGGGAAAGGCCCTCCCCACGGCCCTGAGCCCTGAGGCACTCACAGCCAAAGGGCGAGGCTTTCCCGAGACCTCTGCCCCATCCCCTTTGGGCAGTGTCACATAATGATCCTCTTTGAGATGACTGGACTTCAAATGCTTAATGCTGCCTCCTTTAGAAAATAACCACTCACACCAGGGCCACCCATGCTGATTCTTACGGGAAACTTCATTGGGAACAGCTTTGAAACCTCGAGAGCACCAAGGGTCTCTGGCTTTCTACCTCAGCAGATGGTCATAGGCCAACGGCACTCGTGCTGATCATCTCCTAAACGCATCCCCAGGCTGGGCTTCATCCCACACCAGCAGCACACACAAGTTCAGCTCCTCAAAGTTCATCTCAGAACCACACCTTAGCCTGGAGCTGTTTGTGCTGCTTTCTTTAGGGGACAAAAGGCAAGGCTTCAGTGAGAGAGCAGCCCAGTGGGCCTGGACCAAGTCACAGCTCTAAGTCTAGAGAGCAGGCACCTGGAGTCCCTGTCTTCACTCCCACACGAAGATAATGCGAGTCACAACGCCCGATTCCTAAGCACACAGAAGGCCCCAGACAGTGGCGGCACAGGACCAACAGCCAATATTAGCTATTTTTGTCACTTTTCACCCAGCCAGGACTCCACATCAGGTGGACCCAGACCCCAGAGCAGTGAGGAAGACAGCCCTTCAGAGGACCCTGCTTGACAGTCTGTACCTTTTCCGTTTCCTGCTGGATGAGGTCCTGCAACTCTTCTGTCCAGCCCAGAAGCTCCACCAGCCTCTCCACGCCGTGAACCACATCCCCCAGCTGGACCACATCCCTGCTGCGAGGACGCCAAGCAAAGGGCCCCACCAAGTCCCGGTTGATGAGCAGTCGGGGCACTGAGCTCTGCACGGCCTCAGACAAGCTGGCAAAAGGCTCTACCTGAAAAATTGCCCAGATGTGAGGAGCACAGTGCCCACCCTCCAAGCCCCTCAGGACACTTCATGCCACAGCCTGAGACTTTGAAAGGGCAGCTCAGACTGATGGTGAGGCCTTGGATACAGGGAAAACACACCGCTATTTCATTTCTTCCAGTCGTGCGGTCTGCTCGGTCTCAATGCCTGGGTTCCTCCCTTCCTGAGCCTCCCTCTGGTCCACATCTTTCTGCTTCCTGCACGTCCTGGCCTCTGCAGGTCTCCCCGCCAGGCGCATCTGGGCTCCAGCAACTGTGCCCACTCTTACCTGTCCTGCCCCATCACACACCATCCCCTCCCAGCAGCATCTCGCCTGTCTGCTCTCGCTCCCTGGGAGCAAGGGCCTGGGCCCACAGAGGGTTCCTGGGCTGCCCACAGGGGTGGAGGCCCCACCTCTCCACAGTCTCCACCATCCAGACCTCCAGGGAGTCCTAACTCGGTGCCTTTGGGCTTCTTCATCCAGCTCCCAAGTGAAATTTCCATTCAGGAGTAAACATATAAGAAATAGATTAATAAATGGTACTGAGACTGGCTCATTATCTGGTAGGAAAATACTCAATTCCTGCTTTCGCTGAAAAAATTTCAAATGTACACAAAACAGTTCTTGAGGAAAATTTAGGTTTCACAAGTAAAGGTAAGGAAGGACTTTTTAGGCCTGATAAGTGAGATAAGACAAAGGAAAGTCATGATAGGTTTGACTACATAATACTATCACATTATTATCTATAAAAATATGCTGTAGAAAAATAATTTTTTAAACCTCATTGCCATAAACTGCAAACATATTTACAACATGTTACAGTTTATATTTCTAATTGCTAAGCTAATTTATAAACACTCTATATAATTTATGGATTTATATTGCTAATTTATAAATAGACTAATAAAATAACCCAATGAAAAATGAGCAAGATATAATATGTAATCCAAAGAGAACACAATGGTTAATAAACATGAAAAGATAAACTTCACTCTTTATTACAGAAATGTTAGATCTCCTTCTTCTCTCTCTCTCTTTCTCTCTCACACACACATTTATTTCTAACCATTCAGATGGATAAAAACCTGAAGACAGGTAAAAAAAAAAAAAATTAAAGACAGGTGATGTTTGGTGTTGGTGAGGATATGGGAAATGGCCACTCATACAGGGTTGGTGGCAGTGTAATTAGTGTATCTTTCTGGGAAGTAACTTCTCAATATTTACTGAAGTACTCACATGAATGTGCAAACATGTATACACATGATTATTCACTACACCATTATTCTGAATATAAAATCTCTATACTATTTATTTTTGTTGTCCATCAATAGAAAGTTGCTTAAATAAATTGTTATACATCGTCATCCTAAAACTCTTGGGGCTGGGTATGTTCCAGAATTCAGAATATTTCAGATTTTAGAAAACATCCTATGGTTGATATATGTCACCCCTCAGTGGGATCCGGAGGGGTGATCCATAACCAAGTGCATTAATATTTCTTCCACACAGCATATGAGGTAAAGTCTGAGCAACACCACAGATTTACTCAGTGCTTATAGACAAGCGCTCTGCTTTGGAGGTCCCGGCAGGGACCGAGTATCCATGTTTGTCAGGGAGACTGTGGGCGCTAACCAGGTAGGTCTCTGTGCACAGTGCTTCCCCAGCTCTGGTTAAAGATCACCACATCTGTGCAGCCTGTGAGGACACAGCAAAACACTTGCAGGGATTCTTTACTTCACTCTCTTCTTTATATAATGTGGGAGCATACAGTACTTTTATAATCAGAGAAAAAGGCTATTTTTTTTCACTTTAAAGAAATAAAGAGGCCTAGTGGCCCCAGTGTCCACTGCTGGTGGCCGGCACAGGGCAGCTGCCAGACTCCACACCACTCACCGCTGACCACCACGGCCCTCTGGCCCCTCTGCCCACCCCCCCACACAACATCCACCCTTCCTTCCAGGCCCAGTGTGGGCATCACTGGTCTGTCCACATTCTGGGCTCTTCTGTCTGCTCCCTCTGGCACCCCAGGTCCCACCCCTGCTCCTGCCTGGACTCCAGATGCGGAAATCCACCCGCCTGTGCCACGCATCCACTGGACAGCCTGAAACAGCACTCGAATCAGTGTCTCTGGGGCCAAGTTCCCCCAACGTGCCCACTAGGCTTCTCGGTCTCAGGAAACCAGCTCCATGTTTGCAGCCACTCAGGTCACAACCCTGGAGCCCTGCAGGAGTCCACACTCTCCCACCCACCGTCCCTTCACACACCTGGGCTCCGACGCCCTCTGCAGTGTTACCTGGCCACCTGCCATCACCACCTGGACTGCCACCTGCAGGGTCTCTACCAGCTCTCCCCACCACAACACGTGCGGGGTCAGGAGGTCAGACCTTGTCACTGCTGCCCTCTGCTCACTCACTCCATGTGGCCACAGGCCACTGTGCAGTGTCCTCTGCCACACACCCTCAGCTGACACGTGTCACCTTCCCGACAAGGCCACGCAAACCAACAAGCTGAGATCACAACCAGTTCACAACCCTTCCCAGCCTTCCCGTCCCACGTGTTCTTTCTCCCATATTGTGCATCACCTAACACCGTGTCCCTTGCTTACAACATCCTACTGTGTCCGTCCAAAGCCCTAGAACAGGGCCCAGCACACAGGAGACACATTTGCTGAATAAACACACTTAACTCTCGGCCTCTGTAGCTGACAGGGGCTCTGAGCACAGGCCTTTCTGGCCTTCTGCCCCTTGGTGCCTATATCCAAGCAGGCAGAGCTCATTGCAGGGGCTCATTTGTTGCTCTTGTCACATCCTTTGCAAAGTTCCTGAGCTTCAGGTCCAGATGGAGAACAGCTTCTGGAACATGTCCATGACTGTGTCCCAGGCACCTCAAACACACACGTGTAGAAATGAGCTTGGCACCCTCCCTCTAAATACCTCCTTACCAACAAATGGCCTGAGTGCCCACAGACAGAGCCAGACCACGCCCTCTCCTGTCCCCAAGTCCCTCTCCTTACCCTCTCTCCTAGTCACATGGTCTGACTGTGCCCACAGCCCTGCCTTCATGAGGACCAGCCTCCTGGACATCTTGCTTCAATCCCCACTCCCCAACAGTCTCTGTGACCCTGAGGAGCAATGTCCCTGGTTCAACCCCTTCAAGTCCATCACTTCTTCTAGCACAAAATCGGCCTCTGTGATGTGGCCTGGCAAGTCTGTCCTGCCCCACCTCTCCATGCCCCTCCCTTCTCCCTTCCCCTCACACACTGTGCCCCACCCACATTGACAGCGCCTCCAAAGCTGAGCGTCCTCCCTCTTCCCCATTCTGCCCAGACTGTCGCTCCCTAGGCCAGGAATACCTCTGCTTCCTCACCAGTTGAACCTACTCGTCTTCCAAAGATAGGATGCCAGAAGGCTCCGAGAGCACCTGGTGCCACCCCCACCAGCCCCACCTCCTCAGCCCTGTCCTTCCAGCCTCCCCCCACCACACACACACACACACACACACACACACACACACACACACACACACTTCAGTCCACCACTGGACCTGCTGACAAACCTCCAGGGAGGTCCCGAGGATGAGCAGCAGATCTGCCATGGGGAAATCAACCACATGCATCAGGAATCTCTGGGGAAGTGCCTCCCCAAAGAAGACGATGTCGGGCTTCACAACGCCAGTGCAGACCGGGCAGCGGGGGATCCTGTCCACGGTCACATCAGCCTGTATAACACAGACAGAAAATGGGCCAAGGGCGATGTCACAACATACCCTAAACACGGCTCTTAATACTGGGGGAAAGAGAGAGAGAGACAGAGAGAGAGAGAGGCAGACCAAGGAACACTCTTAACTGCGGAGAACAAACTTACGGCTACTAGAGTGGAGGGGGCGGGGGACAGGCTGAATAGGGGATGGGGACTGAGGACTACACTTGCTGTGATGAGCACTGGGCGACGTACGGAGTGTGAGTCACTAAACTACACCTGAAACTAGTACAACACTGTATGTTTCCTGACCGGGATTTAAATAAAAACTTAAAAAAAAAAAGGATTGCTCTTACTAAGAAATTTTCAAACATTCACAACAACTGAATAATGAACCCAGCTTTGGCATTTATTGACATTTTGCCGGTTTTGTTTCGTATGGCACCCTACGACTGGGGACAGGTTGGAGTATTTGAGAGCGGACCCTGAAGAGCACATGTAACACCATGCCGTGCACCTGCGATGCTTCTCTGAGACACTCAGATGCTAAGGAAATACTCAATAGATGGCACAGTCCTCAGGAGGTACTCTGTAGGCATTGGGCCTACCCTGGGCGTAATTCAATGAGAAAAGTGGTATAAACTTTGTCCCTGATTTTAGCTGAAGTGATCACGACGTCACCTTAGCCCTGGAAGACATTCAGGCTGAAGTTATAAGTAGCATTACCACAGACCGCTTCCTTGCAGGACAAGGTGAGGTAGGCACAAATCATTCTTACGCCCTAAGATGCCTGTGTTGATGTGCTGGGCTGGGTTTCAAAGGAGGGAGCCTAAGAAAGAGGACACCATTTTCTAAGACAAACCTTCCTGGCCTCGTTTTAGCAAGCTGAGCCCAGCCAGAACCAGCAGAGACAAATGGACCAAAGAGAGACTACTCAAAGACTTCAGACACTATCAAATACAGATTAAGGCCAATTTGTGTTTAGTGTTTAAAAAAAAAAAAAAAAAAAAGACAGGTTTAAAGTATCTGATGGGGAAAGAAAACTATAAAAAATAATGTAGTGGATTTGAAAAAGAACAAAAGAGAACTTCCAGTAATAAAAAGTATCAAAAATTAGGAAGGCACTTGTGATGAGCACTGGGTGTTGTACAGAGGTGATGAATCACTAAATTGTACTCCTGAAACCAATACTACACTATATATTAACTAACTAGAATTTAAATAAAGATCTGGAAGAAAAAAATGGGGCAAGCAATTCAGATCTGGAAATGAGCCTACTGTGATTGAGGTTTTGCATCTCATTAAACCTTTTCCAAACAAACAAACAAAAAGTAACAAAAATTAGCACTCAGTGGAAGAGCTTTATTCTGTACAACAGAATAGAAGGTTGATAAACTGGAAAACAGACCAGAAGACATTATTCAGAGCACAGCACAGAGAAGTAAGATGGAACACACAGAAGAGCCACGGGTAGGAGCCTGAGAAGGTCTCATGGGAGTTTAAGGAGAGCTCCGAAAGGGAGGAGAGGGAGTGGGAGAGGCAATCAACATCTAAGAGGCAAGAGCCAAGGATTTTTCCAGCAATGATGAAAGATCTCAAACCACAGATTCGGAAGGCCCTACAAATTTAAAGCAGAATAAGTAAACAAAAGGAAATCCATATGGAGATAGACCACAGCAAAAGTGCAAAACTCCAAAGACAAAGAGAAAAGGTTTAAAAATATGCAGAGAACAGATAGTGACAAACTGATTCTAGAGTTTCTGTGCAAAGCAAAAGACCAGAAGAGCCAACACACAGTATTGATGGAGAACAACAAGACTGACACTACCCAACTTCAAGACTTACTATAAAAAGCTGCAGGAACCAGGATGTGGCACTACCGTAGGAAGAGGTGAACATATCAGTGGAACAGAACACAGAGCCTAGAAGTAGACTCGCACAAACACAGTCAACGGATCTTTGACAAAGGAGCAAATCTCGTCTCTTCAACAAATGGTGCTGGACATTATGAAAATTAATAAAGGGAGACCTTGCTGATGTGGGTTCAGGAGGTTGGAAGGAACCCTACCACTCACCATCAATCCCACAAAGAATTGTAAACTTACAGACCCAACAGAAGAACCCTCAACAGGAAAGAACCATCAAGGCAGGCCCCAACAGGGGAAGATGTGTACCACCCTCTACAACAAATTGACCACCCCAGCGATTCAGCTGGCGAGACACCATCATTCCCCCGAACTGTTTCTCCAGCCCCTCCCAACTCCCTCCCTCCTCTCCATCAAATGTCCCTCTTCTTTGTTGTTTGGACTTGCCTAGTTTTGCTGTAGCTTGCTCCTCCCAAATTGCGTTTTTCTACTATTTCTGAATAAGCCCATTTCGCTGGTAAAATAACTGGCAGTTTTATTTTTAAGGAAAACATCACTGGTGTCAGAAGGGGATGCAGGGGGCTACCTTCAGAGACTTTGAGGCTGGTGAGCAAACCAACAGGCGCCAGTAACCACAGACCCAGTCGGGCTTGCAGCTTTCTCTCCGACCCTGGGGTTTGAGGGTAAGTTTTCTCTGGGACTTGAGCTTCACTCTCTGTGTTTTCAGCTCTCCAGGCTTTATTCAAGACCTTTTTAAGGCTTTGTCCTTTCTCAGAGTACTCGTTTGGCCTTTGGTCTGACTCCTCTCTAGAGCCAGGCTGTTCCTACTGGAACTGTGCTGTTTAGAAATTTTTTTCTTCCCTCTAGAGAAAAGCCTCTGGGAAATGGGATCCTAGCGATCAAAATGCTTTGAGCACGCCCCTGCCCCTACCCTCCCACACTTCTGGGACCCCAGCCTGTTCTATGTGTCAAAACTGTGGTCCCTCCTCATGTGCACTCTTAACTAAATGGACTGACTCAACCGAAAGTAATTTACAACTTCAGTGGCCATTATGGGGAACTTTCCATCTCCCCAAATTTACTTTTCTCACAACTCAATCGGACAACCATGGCTCTAAAATTGTCAAAACTGAATTGGATGCTTATTTTAATTGGTACCTTGAGGCTTCCAAACATTTTTAGGATTCAAAGGTTGTTCGCCTCTTTGGTTCATTTGTTAATTTAGAAATAGTATTTTGCAAAGAGGCAAACAACTGAAAGAAGTCAACGCAGCTTCTGAGTCTTGCCCTCCCCATCTCCTTTGTCTCCAGACAGGTGGGGCGACCTTGCGCGCAGGCCCGCCTCTGGTGCCATTTCCCTCTTCCCTCAGCACTGTCCCCACCTCCCCTATACCCACCACTCATTCTAACCCTTTCGCTGAGCTTCCCTTTACCTCCAAACCTCTCCCCACCCACCTTCTCCTGAACCTATTAATAGCTACCCCTCTAAAGATAACTCTGCTGGGGGTCCAAATGAACGTCAAATTGCTTATGTTGCCTGGACTAAGGCTGAATTTCGAGCCATAGTGAAAGAGTTTCCTAAAGTGACTGAGGACCCCATAAATTTGCTGAAGAATGTAACACAGTTATTCAAACTTACCCATCTGATTTCTCAGATTTATATCAATTGGTCCCCATGCTTGTTGGTGAGGGTCAGGCCAAACGCTGGATAAAACCAACCCAATGGGAGCATCCTGAAAGGGGTTTAGAGAAACAGATGCCTGAGTTTTGACAAGGTGCTAGAACACTCGCTGGAAATCTCCACTGAGTGTTGGAGACGGTCATCAAAAAGATATATGACCACCAGTTGACCTGTGACCTGGACCCCAGCGCTTGGAGGCTCCTCACTCCATTCCCCTGTCCTTGGAATGTGGGTTCCCCTTGCCTTTCCCATCCCAGAGGCTGCTCCAAGGACACAGCCTTGAGATGGTGATGTGGTGTGGTGTTGAGAACACCTGCAGAGTAGATGGGGCTGAGCCCAGTTAATGGCCTCTTTATAAATTTTTAAGATTTGAAGGCAGGTGTGGGGATCCAGCCATCCTGCTGCTGCCCAGGACAAGCCTTGTTATGTCAGTTCCCTTGATGATTAAAATGGACACCTACAAACCTGGAGTGGCCGCCTCTTCGGTCTCTCCCAGCCCTCTGCCAACGGGGGCCGGCTTTAGATCACAGCCAGGAGCTCCCGAGAGGGCTGCAAGCCAACATCAAGCAATTACAGTACCTTTTCCTAAGCCTGCTGATCAAAACAAGATTCAGACTTGCACAGAGAAGCCTGATGAACCAATTCATGACTATCACATTCGACTCCACATTGTCTTCAAAGAAAATTCTTCCTTCAGATGCTAAATCCACCATTTAACTCCATTTATTAATGAGCTGAACCATCATCTTATGGGAAACTTTGTCCACTCCAGACTTAGTTAATTTGGCAAACCAGCTCATTGGCATCCTAGATAAGTCACCTAAAAGAAAGACCACTACCACTCTCAATTTTCAACTCCAGCAAATGTAGGCCCCTAAACAACCAGCCCTCACCCCTTGTTTCTGCTGCTATTACAAAGGGCCAGAGCAGGAGTTGGCAATGACCTTTCAGAGGTAACACCAAAGGCACAATCCATGAAAGAAAAATACGTTAGACCTCATTAAAATTAAAAACCCTGCTCTGTGAAAGACACTGTCAAGAAAATGAGAAGACAATATTTGCAAATGAGGAGAAAATATTTACAAAAGATATCTGATAAAGGACTGTTATCCATAATATACAAAAATATTCCTAAAACTCAACAATAAGAAAATGAGCAACCTAGTTAAAAAATGGGCCAAAGACCTGAATAGACAGCTCACCAAAGAAGATGTTCAGGTGGCAAATGAGCATTTGAAAATATACTCCACATCGTATGTCATCACGGAAATGCACATTAAAACAAAACAATACCATTACACACCTATCAGAACAGCCAAATTCTAGAACACGGACAACACCAAATGCTGCTCTTATTCATCGGTGATGGAAATGCAAAGCAGTGCAGCCACTAAACATTGGAAGGACGAAACATGCTCTTACCGTACAATCCAGCAGTCGCATTCCTTGGTATCTACCAAAGGCGTTGAAAACTCACGTCCACACAAAAACCTGCGTGTGGATGTTTATAGCAGCTTTGTTCATAATTGCCAAAACATGGAAGCAACCAAGGTGACCTTCAGTAGATGAATGGATAACTGTGGTCCACCCAAACAAGGGAATATTATTCAGCACTAAAAAGAAGTGATCTATGAAGCCATGAAAAGACATGGAGGAAACTTAAAGGCATCTGACTAAGTGAAGAAGTCAGTCTGAAAAGGCTGCATATGTATGAATCCAACTCTGAACTTCTGGAAAAGGCAAAACCATGGAGACAGTAAAAGGACCAATGGTTGCCAGGGGTTGTGTGAGGGGGATGACCGGTTAGTGGGTGCAGAGTTTTCCTTTGAGGGGATATAAACGTTCTGGAATCAGATAGAGATAGTGGTTGCACAACACTGTGAATATATTAAATGCCAACGAATTGTACACTTTAAAATGTTTAATTTTACAGTTATGTGAATTTGACCTCATTAAAAAATAAAAGATGGGGTCCTATGCCTCATCAATATTTCAGAGTTTCATCTTTATTTAAGATTTTCCAGTCTATCCTATTCTGCTTGAAGAAACCCATCCTACAGAACTATCCCCAGAAGTACATAGGGGTATGAGCACAAGTGTCATTGATGCATTATTCCTAATGGTAAAAATCACAAACATCAAAAAATATCCCACAGTAGGTGAATGTCTAAATTTAATATTCCACTTACTAAAAACGGTAAGCAGAGCTGTAGTTACTGACACAAGATATCCATAAAATTTTGTTCTGTAACAAAGCAGTTTGTAGAATATTAAACTTAATAATCCTATACTGGGGCGCCTAGGTGGCTCAGTCGGTTAAGTGTCCAACTCTTGGTTTCAAGCTCAGGTCATGATCTCAGGGTCATGGGATCGAGCCCTACATCGGGCTCTGCACTCAGAGTCTGCTTGAGATTCTCTCTCCCTCTCCCTCTGCACCCCCCCCACTCATGCTCTCTCTTTCTCTCTCTCAAATAAATTTTAAAAAGTTTTAATTACCCTATTCCAAAAAAAACTGTCACTCTGTGTGGTGTAGGTACACAGATATGGACATGTATGTTTAGATATGCCTATTTTTTTAAGCCTTGGAACATTATACACCAAACTGTTACAAGTGGGCTATAGGAACTGGTTGAAGGGAGATACATTTTTCCCTACATATTTCTTAATATTTTACAAGTGTGTATTACTTTTCCAATTTAAAAATAAAAACGTTTCATACCATTACTGTTGTTGTCCTTCTAATACGATGCTTATAAAATGCCACTTTTCCAGATCACTCCCACTGCAAAGTGCAGAAGGGAGAGAAGTGGCAGCATGACAACTCACCCAAATGTCCTTCCCTGGAAAGGGCCTTCGGCAGACAGTGCACGTGGCAGAGGCAAAGGATCCATGAGCTTCAACCAGCTTTGAGGCAGGGATGCCAGATACTGAAATTCAAACCAAAGCTAAGTGCTGCTGGCTCCCAGAGCATGAGCTCTGAGCTTGGCAGGCCCCCAGAGGGAGTCACAGCCCTCAGTGCAAGCCTGGTGCCCCTGCCTCCACCACCTACAGATAATGTCCCACTGACCAGAATAAGCACAGGGATCAGGGCTCCCAGATGGAGCCAAATCATGGTTAAACAAAGCCTGTCAACAAGTTTGATTAAGTTGAAATAAAACTATATTTGATACCTAGGAAAATATTTTCTATTCTACAGATACCAAGTAAAAGCAAAAAAACTATATAGGGGCGCCTGGGTGGCTCAGTCAGTTGAGCATCTGACTCTTGATTTCGGCTCAGGTCATGATCTCAGGGTCATGGGATCGAGCCCCAAGGCAGTCTCCATGCTCAGCGGAGGGTCTGCTGGAGATTCACTCTCTCCCTCTCCCTCTGCTCCTCCCACCATGGGCACATGTGTGCGTGCTCTCACTCTCTCCCTCTCAAATACATAAATCTTAAAAAAAAACAAAAAAACTATATAAAGACAGTAAGTTTCAAAAAAAATGTAGAGCCTCCCCCCACCCCGCCCCGGCCCCTCTCTGTCTTCTCTGCACTGGGAGCAGTTCTCCAGCCACAGCCCCTCATCCCCGGAAAATGTCCGCCTGTGCAAAGTTCGTCTCCACCCCCCTTCCTGGTCAGGAGCACCTGTCAGCTGTTGAGCCGATCACTGTCTGCAGCCGTGCTAAAACCACCAGAGACACTGACAGACGAGAGCCTCAGCAGCTTGGCAGCCCCACGTCCCCTGATTTCACTTATTCCTAGCTGCAGCTTCCGAGCCAGCGCCGTTTCAAGGGACATCCACAGAGCAGCCAAGTGCCTTGGGGCTGGGGCTGCCACGGTAGGGATGGCTGGCTCTGGGGCTGGAATTGGGACTGCGTTTGGGAGCCTCATCATTGGTTATGCCAGGAATCCCTCTCTGAAGCAACTGCTCTTCTCCTACGCCATTCTGGGCTTTGACCTCTCAGAGGCCATGGGGCTCTTTTGCTTGATGGTGGCCTTTCTCATCTTCGCCATGTGAAGGAGCCGTCTCCACATCCCATAGGTTTTTCTCCTGTGTCTTGTCTGCCCTGTATGTTCCTTTTCCTCTACCTCCCCAGGCAGCCTGGGGAAAGTGGTTGCCTCAGGGTTTGACAGAGGGAAGACAAATAAATACTGTATTAATAAGAAAAAAAAAAAAAACCTGTAGAAAAACAAACACAGGTAACTGATTTATGACAGTTACCTGTTCCCACTGTCAGCTTCTGAGCTATGGATGGGCAGACAGTCCCAGCTGCAAGTGGCTTCCACTGTTCCCGTTATTGTCATAAATCTCCATATGCTAAAGCCCACGGCCAGATACTCCCACCTTCCCACAAGGCCTGTCCTGCTGCACCTCCAGAAGAGATCATCCCCATGGGGCATCCACTGCTGCCTAAGTGGTTCCAAACTGCAGAGTCCTTCCAGCAAGGAATCATTTTCCTGGAGTCCAAGGGACTCCTTTTTACAAACCACAAGACGTCTGCAGCCTGGCTGAGCTGCGGCTGGCTCACTAAGAGCCAGCACTATCAGCACCTATCAGCGTCGCTGCCCGTGAGAGAAAGGCTCAGCAGATGCCTCGCTAAGATGCACAGTCAGCAGTCAGTACCATCTGTGCATCACTGGTTGTGGCCACTGTCGGGACAGCCAGGAGATCATTATACAAAGAGTTTGATAATGCTAAGGCATGAATAGTGATCTCTTTGTGTGACAATGACATCGTAGTTATGTTTTAAAAGTCTTTATCTTCTAGAGACACTTATAGATTGTTTATAGGTTAGGCTTATGATGTCATGGATTTGCTTCAAAATAACTGGGGGTGAGAGAGAAGGTGGGGGGTAGGAAGACAGATAAAGTAAGGACTGGCTATGATGAGGGCATGAGGGTTCATTACTTCCTCTCTTTATTTTTATGCACTCAAAAAATTTCATAATAAATTTCTTAAAAAAGAAATCATCATATCAGATTAGCAAAACTAGAAGCTCCCAATGTCAACTTTAGTTCTATCCAAAACTCACAGTCCACCAATGAGATCCCAACGGTGACTCTTAAACACACAGTGGACTTTCTGTCAGGGACAAAGGCATAAGGAGTTGGCTTGAAATCAGAGGACAGGGTGAGCACTGCCCGGAAGCAGGCACCCAAAGCCTTCCCTGCAGAAGAAGAGGTGGCGACAGGAGGACGGCTCACCTCTCTCGAGCCCATCGATGTTCTGTGTGTAGAGCCGCAGAAGCAGCCCCTTGTCGTGAAGCAGTCGCAGGAAGTAGTGTATGACGTTGGGCCTGTAGCTCCTGAGGTACAGCTCCTTGGCCAAAGTGAAAAAGGGCTTGGGGTTGTGAGAGAAGAAAGTGAGCTCAAAAATGGCCTCAGGGTAGGGGAGGTCGTACTGCTGCAGGTTGCTGTAGAGGCCACTCCTGGGAGACCTGCAAAGAGGAGCAAGAGGCTCTGAGCCCTGAGGAAGAGGGCAGGACCGTGAGGCAGACCAGGGTGCCAAGGGAGGAGCTGGGCGCTGCAGGGCACCTGAAGTCCGGAATGCCGCTGGGCGTGCTGATGCCGGCCCCCACCATGACCACCACCCTCTGGCAGGCTCTGGCTTGGATCAGCTCCGCTATATCCTGCAGAAGAAGCTTCTCCTTCTTACTGTTGCCTCCGCTTCCAAAGATGCTTGAGGCACTAGCAGAAAAAGATATGGGTCTTCTTCCACCTGTAATGCTGACAGAAAAGGAGAGTGGCCAGGTGACCAGGGACAGTTAAGCTTCTGCTAGCACTTGACCACCGCCACCACTTAGAATGATCATACACTTCCCTCCTGTCCCCCCAAATGACCACCCTTCTCATCATGGATGACTATTGGGCTACAAGAGAAAGAAGTCTTAACTCAGAAATCAAAACTTAATTGGGAGCAAAAAGTTCAGGTCAGTTGGAACTGTGCAAACAAGGGATGTAACATCTCTTAATTCCTGTTACCCAGTGCTAAGAGAACAGGGTCCACACCAAAGGTGTGGGGGCTTTGTGGGGGCTCTGGGTGTGCTCTCTGCAGAGACATACACTGTAGCATACTTGGGATGTGACAAACAGGCAGTGACATTTAAAGAAAGCCAGATGTCTCAGACTTCACACCAAATACTATCAGGAGAAAAAGTGGGTTCTAGAGACCATTCCAGAAAGAAACACGCACGCCCTGAGATTCACGCTGCTGCAGAAACTTGATCTTCAATGTTCACAGCCGCTCATACTATGCAGCAGCCAAAGGAATCCCACAACCAAGACAAGGCAGTGGGTAGACTCAGCTCAGGCTCTCTCTGTGAAGCACTGGAAGGCTTCTCAAGTCACCCCCAGAAGCCAGGAGCCGAGACACTCACAAGGCTAAGTGTTAGGGATATGAGATGGTCTTCCACAGGAAAAAAAAAAAAGCAAATCACAATGTACAAGTCACAAGCTTCAGCAGGACCTCGGGACTTAGAAAATGACTCAACACCCAGGAAAGCAACAGGAAGAAACAAAAGCAGTATGAATAATACAAAGCCTGTAGCACTAACTGAACACGCCACTGAAGTAGTCTGCAGCTGTGGGAGGCATGCAGCGCTACAGCTTCACCTCACATGAGCCTGGAAAGGTTTCCTGGGTTTACTGATCTGCTGTTAGGGCCCCTGTGTGGCATCTAACCAAGCTGCGTGACTTCTCACCTCTTGATATCATGCTGACAACTCACCCAGAGTTCAGGACTGCCAGCTCCACTGCACAGGGCGCCTTTTTCACACCCCAAAGACTGGTGGCCACCATGTCCGTTCTTCCAGGAGAAGGCCCTTGATGACCCTCCCCCAGGACATCTGTGACTTCAGTATAGAGACTCCTCCACCCTGATGGGAAAAGAGATTCAACAAATGAAACTGACAACCCTCCTCAAATGAGTGATGAATCTAAAATGAATACAGACATAAAAACAGGAAACTGAGAGCATTTCTTTTACTCATTCATGATTCAGGCAAGAAGTAAACACCCTAAAAGCACATCGTCATACACATCAGAACAATTCAGGAGTATGCATCTTCTAGAAGTATGGCCCTAACTCATTCTCCTGTTTGCTCTTTGTCTTTTGTGTTCTTTTGCTCCTTACAAAACCAACACTGCAAACTCTCTGCACAGACCGACCCACTGGACACACTGTCAGTGAGGTTTCCCCTGAAGCTCTCTGCTCCCCATCCTAGCACAGCATATCCCACCCCAGTGACAATTTCAACCCCTACCCTGCCCTCTTATATATCCCCCCTTTCAGCCAAGCAAAAGAATTCCCTAGCTCTTGTATGTCCTAAACCCAGCTTCCTCTGCCTGAAAAGACCTTTCTCCACCTCAGCATGTCCAAATCTCCCACAGTCAAGGCCAGGACCAAATTCCACCTCCTTCGTGAAGCCACTGCTGAATCCCAGTGAGCAACCACTTTGCCCTCGTTTGATTCCCTGCTCCTTTTAGGCAGGCTGACACCCCCTCCCTTCCTGCAGTGACCCTGCACACCACCTCGCACACTCCACCCTCAGGTCAGGGACTTCCTTGCTGCTCACAGTCCACTTGCTTCTGTGTTGTTGCCTCTCCCACCACACAGAGTCATCTTGGTTTTCAAAAGAACAGATTTCTGAAAGGTATGTACAAGAGAAAGAGGAACACGACAAAGAAAGGTGTACGTGCAGGGCCGAGGGCGCCCAAAGGAGAGTCAGAGCCCTAGCTCACTGCCAGTCTCATCAAGTCACTCAAACACCCTGAGCCTCAGCTGCCAATGCCAAGAGCAAGAAATGATTCTTACAGTCTTGCTCAAGAAGACCTACAACTGTAGATCTTTCCCAGCAGAAAGTACAGGAAATACAGCAGGGAAAACAGTGCTTCTCCCTCATCCCCACACTCCTGCAGAGATGCCCACAGATCCTGAAGGAAATTCTGCCGCATCAGAGACTTGTGTAAAAAGCACCTGTCAAGCAGTTCTTCTGAGTGCAAGCTGTTAAGTCTCCAAAAGAAATTTTCTAGTGAAAACTGGCCGGATGGTCAGGAAGAGAAGAAGATGCTCTGGCTGCAGCCACAGCTGTTAAATGCCCAAGTCACTCCGCATCTAGAACAACTCTTCCCCTACAGTCTTCACCCAAACATTTACTGAACTCCTCCTACATGCAAGTTATTATGAGAAACACAAAAGGAATTAAAGGGAAGTTGTGATATTATGATATGTTTTTTGGTCTTCATCCACAAACCCCTGGAATTTCTAAGAGCAAAGGGCACATCTTCTGTTACCACGGTTGGTCTCTTGTCCTCAGTTCCTGAACTCCCCTCAGAGCCATGAAGGTGAAGCAGGTGTCTTGTTCTGCTTAACCAGCCCCTCTCCACCACAGCTGGGTTTATGTTCATGAGGGGACTTTGGAAAGGCCCCAAGGATGGGGGCTGGGTGCCAGGGGGACCAACTGTGATTAGAGGGTTGGAGCTTCCATAAAAACTCAAAAGAAGGGGGGGGGTGGTCAGAGGGCTTCCAGGTTGGTGAACCACGTGCCAGGGCCCTGGGCCCCAAACTCCATGAGGCAGAAGGGACCAGGGACCCTTGCAGACCTCACCCTATGTATCTCCACTTCTGGCCATTCATTCATTTCCTTTAACATCCTTCGTGATACACCCGTAATGTACTAAGTCAACCAGTCTCCAAGTTCTGTGAGCTGCTCTAGCAAATGAATGGAACCAGAGGAGGGGATCGTGGGGACCTCCGATTAGTAGCTGGTCAGTCAGAAGCACAGGAGACAACCTGGATTGGTGTCTGAACTGGGGGCTGTCTTGTGGAACTGAGTCCTTCACCTGTGGTGCTCTCTTCAGGCAGGTAGAGTCAGAATTGAGTTCATTTGCTGGGACACCTGGTCAGTGCAATAAAGGTTCCTGGAATGAAGGAAAGATCCCTTGGATCTATTAAACTCTTCACCAATACTTTTAGTACCTGTGTAAGATGGCATCAAGTAGATGTACCATTACTTAAGTATTAATCCATTATTGGACATTTAAGTTACGTTTCTTTTTTTTTTTTTTTTTAAGATTTTATTTATTTATTTGACAAGAGAGCACAAGTAGGCAGAGCGGCAGGCAGAGGGAGAAGCAGGCTCCCCACTGAGCAGGGAGCCCGACCTGGGCTTCGACCCCAGGACCCTGGGATCATGACCCGAGCCGAAGGCAGCCGCTCAACCGACTGAGCCACCCAGGCGCCCCTTAAGTTACGTTTCTTAACAACTATGGGTCTTAAGATATCCCCATATGTATGTTCAATTCCTAGGCAATGAAACGGAATAAAGGACACCTCACTAACACGCAGTGGAGGCCAGCAGGGCGAGCTCTCCCGCCCACCACTCCCTCCTCGCAGCCCTCTGCATTCCCAGCGGGAAGAACCCTGCGCTTCACGGCGCCGCGGAGGAAGGAGAGGTTCCTCCCATTCGGACAGCCCAGCCAATAAGAGCAGAGCCCAGCCAATGAGAGCACAACTCAGCCAATAAGAGCTAGTCACAGCCCAGCCAATGAGAGCACAACCCAGCCAATGAGAGCACAGCCCAGACAATGAGAGATGGTCGGAGCCCAGCAAATGAGAGCACAGCTCAGCCAACGAGAAGCCACTATACTTCCAGTTCCCAGTTTATTCCGAAGGGGTTTTTGCATATTACAGCCTTCCCAAGAGCATTTCTGGGGCGCCTGGTGGCTCAGTCGGTTAAGCGACTGCCTTCCGCTCAGGTCATGATCCCAGGGTCCTGGGATCGAGCCCCACATCGGGCTCGCTGCTCAGCGGGGAGCCTGCTTCTCCCTCTCCCTCTGCCTGCCGCTCCCCCTGATTGTGCTCTCTGACAAATAAAATCTTTAAAAAATAAAATAAAAATTAAAGAGCATTTCTGTCCTCTGTTTCTGGAACTTGCCTATGGTTTTGCCATAGCTTTCTTATCTTGGATTGCAGTTCTCTGCTATTCCTGAATACACCCATTTTGCTGGCAAAATAAGTTTTATTTTTAAGGTTAACAGCAAAGATCCCAAAATGTACACGTACTGCATAGAAGAGTATGAACATATGCTAGTAGAAGTATTAATTGCACAAACTTTAACGGGGACAATAAAAACGCGTATACCTTTAGACCCAGGAGTCCCACTACGAGGAGTTTATCCAAAAAGTGAGTACAAACAATATACCTCAGCATTATTTGTAATAACTAAAGATTACAAACTATTTCAATAAGTGAATAATTAAATACATTATGAAACATCAATAGAATGGAATCCTACAGATCCCACCCCCAAACTGAGAGTTGGGCGGGGGGGGGGGGGCATCCTCAGTTCCCCGCAGAGACAGACAATGGGAGGAGTCTGAATGATCTACAACCAAGAAGCCCAGACTCCATCTTGACCTCCCCCTGCGGGGACAGGAGCAGCAGGTCCCTCCTCCCTGACTCTAAGCCCTTTCCTGTAAGGTGAGGCAGGGCCTGGAGAGCTCTTCGTTGCGGTAGATGTGGTGGTTCGAATAAAAACAGTCATGCAAAGAAAAAAAAAAAAAAAGGAATTACAGATCAGTATAAAAGACTAAGAAAGCATTTATGTTTTGAGATGGAAGTAAGTCCAAGACGTATTGTTAAGTAAAAAAAGCTAACTAAACAGTGTCAACAATGAACATACAAGTGTTGCTTGTACTCATCCAAAATATCCCTAAGAAACAAGAAACTGCTGCCATGGTGGCCTCTGGAATATCCTCTGAGCTGCGTGAACAGGGACTTAACATTTTCAGGTTCTCCAGTGTCCCACCGACCATGCAAGGAAAAACTTGACTCCTGCGCTCGACTGAACTGAATCCGGCCTGCTTTTCAACCCCAGCAAGGCGCGGGCACCGAAGCGCTCGTCTCCGCCCCGGGCGCCGCCTGCCCCGACTCACCCCCGCGGCTGCCAGCCCGCCCTGCCGAACCAAGAGGCCCACTCACCTGCCGGGCCCCAGGGCCTGAAGGCGGAAAGAGCAGGCCGAGCCCACCGAGCCATGTCCCAGCTCCTCTGCCGCCCGCTCGTGACCTTGTCCCCAAAGGCCAGGAGTCCGCCGCTGCGCGCGCCGCGCCCCGCGAGCCCAGGTTGGGGTGGACGCCAGGTGGGGGCGGCTTTCTAGCCCCTTGGGGTCCCGCCTCTCGCCCTGAAGACCAAACCAGTAGCCTGCATTTCTCTATCCTGCTTTCCCACCTTTTTCAAGAGAGACGGTGATGCGAACACTTTGCGAGCACTTACTACGGCCAGTCATCACATTTTCACTCAGTCCTCGCGAGACACTATTAAGAAGCTACTACTATCATGGTCCCCAGTTGAGAAGAGGACCTGCAGGTCACAAAGGCCGAGGCCGCAAAGCCAGTCGATGGCCGGGCCGACTCCAGGCCCTCGCACTGTTGAATGGCACGGCCAACTGCGCGGGAAATCGGGTACAAACCCTGGACAGAATTTCTTCCGAGGCACAGGCGCGGTTACCCTGACAACCAGCGGGCGCCGCCGGCCGCCGGGGCGCTCCCGGCCTGCCTCGCGCGACGCGGCGCCGGAAGTGAGTGAGCATTTCCGGCGGCCATCCCCGCGGCGCTGACACCGCCACACTACGGCTGTCCCAGGGTCTTCTTGCCGTCATGAAGGACGTTCCTGGCTTCTTACAGCAGAGCCAGAGCTCCGGGCCCGGCCAGGCCGCCGTGTGGCACCGTCTGGAGGAGCTCTACACGAAGAAGTGAGCGCCCAGCCGAGGGGCCGCGGGCCCCAGTGATGGGAGAGCGAGGCAGAGAGGGGGCGACGGGGGGAGGGGCGGGACTGTGATGGACCGAGGGTGCTCAGCCCCGCGTGCGGGGAGCGGGAGCAGGCTAGGCCGGGGAGGTGCGCCGAGAAGGGAGAGGGGGTGACAGCCCGCGGGGACTGAGGAGTAGAGCCACAGGCAGAGTTTGGGGGCCTAGGGTTAACTGCCATCTTGACCGAGGGGCTGTGACTGAGGTTCTGAATTCCCCTTCCCCTGGTATTACGAAAAGGGTTCAGGGCTTTAAAGGATGTTCGTTCTTGATTCCAGTCAAACAAGCAAACGCCCATCCTGAGGTCCGGCTGCCATGCATTTTTGAATAGCAGATTCTGGTGTCTTAGCCTTGGTATCGTGGGGCTGTATCTACGCCATCCTTCTCAGCGGTCTGGAGCGGATAAAGCAGAACCGAGTGCAGTTCTGTTTTTTCCCCTGTTGATTGTCTGTTGCTAAGCACCAACCTCTTTTTATTTTTTTTTTTAAAGATTTTATTTATTTATTTGAGAGAGAGAGAGAGAGCACATGAGAGGGGGGGAGGGTCAGAGGGAGAAGCAGACGCCCCGCCGAGCAGGGAGCCCGATGCGGGACTCGATCCCGGGACTCCAGGATCATGACCTGAGCCGAAGGCAGTGGCTCAACCAACTGAGCCACCCAGGCGCCCACCAACCTCTTTTTAAATGAATACAATAAGTTGCTAGCATTGTTCCATAGGAAAGTACACCTCTAGTAATAACTTCCCTGTTAACAACCCTAGCGTTCAGCATTGTGCCTTTTACACAGAAAATAAATACATTTTTGGATGATGTTCAGCAGCCTTCTGCTATTAGCGTTTTTATTTGCATTCTTAAAAATTAGACTTTGGTTTCAAATGTACTGTCATTTTTCTAGAGGGTTTATTCTTTTGCCCTTTTAATCCTTCGTTTGTCCCATATACAGTGGAGGAAACAAGCTCACTTTAAGCTCCTTCCCTGAGATAATCAGCTAGTAAGTAGAAGAGCCAGGATTTCAACTTAGATATGGGTGATTCCAAATTCTTGGTTTCAGTCAGACCTCACAGTAACTCTTGAGGTACTCTAAAAAGATGTTCTCCAGGGTGGCATACCGTTGACTAGCAGAGCCAGGAAAAGAGCTCAGGTTTATTGGCGTCTGCTTTAGCTTTCTTCCTGTTACACAGTAGGAACTGGCTACTATTTGTTATTTGATAGGACCACCAAGGCTGGAGGTGTCTGTGACTGGATATTAGTTTATAGGTCTTAAGGGCCTTATGTTTTTCAGGTTGTGGCATCAACTGACACTCCAGGTGCTTGATTTTGTGCAGGACCCATGCTTTGCCCAAGGAGATGGCCTCATTAAGGTAAATGATTTGCCATGCTAGGTCAGATTATATAAATATAAATAACTTTTAAAATTAATAGGTGTGCTTTTTAGTAATACACTGTACCTACTCAGCAGTCAGTATGTCAGGTACTGTTCTAAGGGTTTTGTATATTTACTCATTTACTCTTTACAGCAACATTGGGAGATAAGCACTACTGTTATCCTATTCATTTGATGTAGAAGTTAACGCCAAGAGATTGAGTAACTTGCCGTGGATCACAGCTGATAGGTGGTAGAAGAAGCTTCAAATACAGTCTGGCTTCTTCTGAAATCCCTGCCTAAAATCCTGTCTTATAGCATAGGATGCCCTGTATCTTATTGTTCATAGACTTTTTTTTCAGTACTGTACTTTTGGAAACTGTTATTCAAAATTGAAAGTGCAAAATCAGTGGGGGTGGGGGTAGGATATAGTGGAAGATAACCATAGGAATCTTATAGATAACCGTCATCACCACTCTTCCTTCACTCCCACTGATTCTGCTTACTTGCCCAAATGCTTTCTCTTGGGTAGCGTGGAAGATAGGGCCTCTTTTGTGCTTCACTTGGAGGTGGGGAGGTTTGGAGGGAGAAATCCTCTGTGGTAGAGCACTTTTAGAATTTTTGTTAACAGGGGGAAAAAGAACATTCTCTGCCCCAGCCTTCCCTACACTCCCTGGCAAACCCCCACCAATTTGTTCCCTGGTAGCTTCCTTTTTAAAATCTTTCTTGACATCTTTGATGCCTTTCTCTCTCAGATTCTGAATGAACCGGAGATATATACCTGCATTGGAACCAAAAACTAGTTCTTGATAGCTTGAGTTATTTGCCCTGGATACATTACTTTATATGTGCTCACAGTGAAGCTTATCACCTTATTACCCCACCACCTGGGACCCTAAGATTTTCCTGTGTTTTATACCCACCAGTTTGACATTTCACTACTTCAAAGGAACTTGTATTCATCTGTACACCTAAAGATTTTGCTGGACATTCTGTCTTCTGGATTATGTGGAAAAATGATCAATTAGAGCTATCTTCATATTTGTTCCCTAAGGTTCTATATCATAGCGATGAATAATTCATGCTTATTCATCTCTATCCTTTGCTCTCTTGTCTTTAAGTCACTTTCTACACAGAGCAAAATATTACCTGAACCCCATGTAACGTAACACTTAGGTCAGCAGACTGGCGTTTACTGTTTCAGTGGGCAAGCAAACCTTTAAAAATTGTTGGGACTCAGCCCACAGAACTTTCAGATACATAGTGTTCATGAATCTGCAGTGACCAGTTGTAATTTTGAGTTTCTTTTTTCTTTGGAGGGGTTTTTACATAAATTGTAATGGATATCAGAAAAGTTAGAATACCCTCTTAATGAAGAAGATATCTTTGAAATAGTCCTTTGTAATGAAAAAGCCATTTTATTTAGATTGCTCTTTGCTAGGTGCCAGATTTATCTTTCTTAAAGATTTTATTTATGTATTTGACAGAGAGAGAGGGAGCACAAGCAGGGGGAGTGGCAGGCAGAGGGAGAAGCAGACTCCCCACTGAGCAGGGAGTCCGATGCAGGGTTCAATCCTAGGACCCTGGGATCAGGACCTCAGCCGAAGGCAGACGCCTAACCGACTGAGCCACCCAGGCGCCCCATGCTGGATGCCAGATTTAAGTAACTAACTGGCTGCTGTACCCTCCCCCCAGTTTTACTGAGAAATAATTGACGTATAATACTGTATTAGTTTAAGGTGTACAATGTAATGATTTGGTATATGTATACGTGCAAATTGATCACAGTAAGTCTAGTTAACATCCATCTCACGGTTATGCTTTTTTTTCTTCTCGTGATGACAACTTTTATGATCTACTCTCTTAGTAACTTTCAAATATACAGCACAGTATTGTTAACTATAATCACTGTGGTGTACATTCTGTTTCCAGGACTTAATTATCTTATGACTGGACATTTGTACCTTTCGACCAGCTTCAGCCATTTCTTGCACCCCTCACCCCCTGCCTCTGGCAACCACCAATCTGTTCTCTGTTATCTGTGAGTTCAGTTTTTTTAGGTTTCACGTAGAAGTGAGTCATACAGTATTTGTCTTTCTTTGTCTAACTTATTTCACTAAGCAAAACGCCCTCCGGTTTCATCCGTGTTGTCACAAATGGCAGGATTTCCTTCCTTTTTTTTTTTTTTTTTTTAGATTTTTAAAATTTACTTGACAGAGAGAGAGACAGTGAGAGAGGGAACACAAGCAGGGGGAGTGGGAAAGGGAGAAGCAGGCTTCCCACTGAATAGGAAGCCTGATGCAGGGCTCGATCCCAGGACCCTGGGATCATGACCTGAGCCGAAGGCAGACGCTTAACCGACTGAGCCACCCAGGCGCCCCAGGATTTCCTTCTTTTTATGGCTGAGTAATATCCTACACTCTGTGTGCATATGCACCACATTTTCTTTCACAGGGACATTTCCATCTTTCTGTCTTCACATCCCAGAGGAATCGCAGACTCTCCTTATCCAAGTTGACCCCATCTTGATGCTCCCTCTCCCCACTTTGCCCAGTTACCCAGCGAAAAGCTCATCTGGATGCTCACTCTCCCCACTTTGCCCAGTTACCGGCGATAAGCTCAGAGGTCATTGTCAGTTCCCCTTTCCTTTCCTGTGACCAGCGAACCTCTCAGACCCTTTGTCTACCCTCACTCTCCTGTCTTGACTAGTAGCCTCAGCTGGTCTCTGTCCCTCCCTCTGTTCCCTCTCTATCCTTCCTGCCCCCAGTCATGCTTATAAAGTAGAAGTGTGACCATGTGTTTCCACTGGCTCTGGTTTGCCTTCAGGACAAGGTCAAGCGCCAGTGCCTCCCACTGTCTGTGTCCTTCAGAAATGCTCCTAAAACACAGTGCAGTGTTTCTTCAGTGCTTTTGCACATGTTTGTTCCTGTCTGGAATGTTCTCCCAACTCCATACCTCCTCTCGCATACCAAATTTGTCCAGCTCTCTAACGTTCTTCCTTACTTAAAACTCAATTATCACCATTTCTGGAATTATCTTTTATGGAACCTCTCCTTTTGGCTGATCCAGCCATGTGTTTTTTTTCCTCGCTGTAAACTCACAGTATTGTCACTTATTTGTTTACAAGTCCGCTCTACTAGGCCAGGAACCCTTGAAAGCCCAACTTTTATTTTATACATTCTGTGTCTGTAGTACCTAGCAAAGAGCCTGCGTACGTACTGAAGTGTTTGCTGAATGGCTAATAAATTTGGTAGTGTAGGCTGCAACCCTCCAGAATCTGAAGGTTAGTGAATCTTTCAAACTGATAGTCTGTTTTACCTAAAATACTTTGGAGGAAATATAGGAATTGGTCTCTAGGAGATTCTTATAGGTCAGGGATCTGATTCCCAGGAAGAAAACCATAGCTTTCTTCAGTAATCCATTGGTGATTAATAAACCCAGATACGGGTCTTGTGTCATTCCGCCAATATTTCTGCAGTGCCTGCTATGTGGTGGGCATTGCGGTCACGTTTAATTTTGCAGATTGAAAGACATCCTGTAATTACTCTACGTGTTTTGGTTCCACAGCTTTATGAAAACTTCATCAGTGAATTTGAACACAGGTAAAACACCTTTGTCAGTTTTTTACTTTGAACATGAAAACATAGATGCTTAATGACACTCAAAGACCGGTGGTTTTTATTTCAGGGTGAATCCTTTGTCCCTGGTAGAAATCATTCTTCATGTAGTTAGGCAGATGACTGGTGAGTCTCATTTTGTGTCATAAAGGAGCAGATCCAAATGGTAATTAAAATGATTTTGAAATATAAGTTAATTGAACTTTTACATTTTGATAGAAAATGCCAGATTCTAAGTTACGTTTTTATTATATTTTATGATCTAAACACAAAGATTATCCTACCTGTATTGTGATTGGTAGGAACCAATCTCTAAAGATACTCTGTTGGTGGTTCTTCTGACATTGTTCTTCTGCCGTTTCTAGATCCTAATGTGGCTCTTACTTTTCTGGAAAAGACTCGCGAAAAGGTAAATACGAAGTCTGAGCCAAATCTTTAGAATGTGTGTGACTTACGGTTTTGTGTCTGCGCTTGCTGTACACACTTTGTAGAGACCAGCGTGTCTCTTATCCTGTAAGTGAAGCCAGTGTGCAGGTGTTTAGTTCATCTCCTGCCCACACTTCTCAGGTCCCCTTGTTTCTGACATCTGTAGGTGAAAAGTAGCGACGAGGCAGTGATCCTGTGTAAAACTGCGATTGGAGCTCTAAAATTAAACATTGGGGACCTACAGGTCACAAAGGTAAGCGTGCATAGTACAGGTTTGTCTTTGGTTTACAAAGTGGTTTAGGGTTATGGGGGGAAAATCCTATTTCTCCAGTTTACCCTTTCAAGTGACTTTTTTTTTTTTTAAAGATTTTATTTATTTATTTGAGAGAGAGAGAACACCTGAGAGGGGATAGGGTCAGAGGACGAAGCAGACTCCCTGCCGAGCAGGAAGCCCGATGCGGGACTCGATCCCGGGACTCCAGGATCATGACCTGAGCCGAAGGCAGTCGCTCAACCGACTGAGCCACCCAGGCGCCCTCAAGTGATTTTAAATTATAGAAAAGTTGCAAACATAGCACAAAGAACTCTGATATATCCTCTCTCACACTCCCATTGCTGACATTTCTTTGCCCCATCATTCTGTGTGTATGCGTGCGTGTGTGCGTGCAAGTTTTGGTTTTGGTTTTCAAAACCATTGAGAGTCAGTTGCTGCTATGAGGCCTGTTATCCTTTAATATAAGAGGACTGCCCTGGGCAAGCACAGCACATCTGTCAGCAGGAGGGTTCCAGACAGCCCCAGACTGTCCACATGGGCCCTCACTGACCAGGGTCAGCCCACTCACCATGACAGGTCACAGGCTGCTCCTCCACCCTCTCTGCCTCCTAATCCTTGTTGAAGTTTCCTGTCTCTTTCTTATTTCCATTTCAGTGTAATTTGGGGGACAGATGTGGGTATGGGTGGCAGTAAGACCAACCTATGTGGTCAGTCCACCTTGCTGAACCAGAGACTACCTGTGTTTGTTTTGGGTTTGGGTTTGGGTTTTTTGGTAACCATAGTATTTAAGAAAATACTGGGGTAAGTGCTGATGTTCTCATTGCCCTAAAATAACATTTCTTATTTCTTGTTGCTTCCCAGTCTCATCCTGCATGCATACTTAACTACATTTTGCTTTGGAATATTTAAGACATACTGAAAGCCATAAAACACTATAAAGAATTCTGTCGTGGGTATCCACATACCCCACCTGGCTTAGGAATGAGGCGGCACTGCACAGTTGAAGCTGCTGGGCCCTCAGAGCACATTCGAGCACCAGCAGTGCTCCCGTGCGTGTGTTTGGTGTTCCTCGTGCTTGTGTGGTTCCTGATGCTCACTAGATAGGGATGTGTAAGTCTAAGTGATAATGTAGTACTGTTTTAAGTTACTGGCTCGGCGTGAGGCCTGAGAGTCATCATGTAGGGACCTGTGACCATTCATTCTTAGTGTTATTTGGTATTTTACTGTTGCAACTGTTTCATAGCCTATGCATCAGTCTCCTCTTGAAGGGATTCAGGACTTTTTCCTATTACGAACAGTGCTGTTAGTTATCATTGTTTCTGTGCCTGGTTCCTTGTGTATGTGGGCAGAATCTCACCAGCACATGTGCTTGGAGGTGAGGCTACAGGTATAAGGTGTATGCTCTACGCCTTTACCAGATGTGGTCAGACCTTTCTCCAGGATGGCTCACGCTCCCCTAGCACCATACAAACACTTCCAAAGCTCGTGTCTTCAATACTTGGTATTTTCAGACTATTTAATTCTTGCCAGTCTGGTGGAGATGAAATGCCATCTCATTGGGGGTTTATTGACCACTCCATTCATGTCTCCACTTCTGTAAATTGCCTGTTAATATCTTTCCTTTTGCCCATTTTTTTCTGTGTTGCTTTCCTCCTGTTGATTTGTAAGAGTTCTTTATATAGGGGTGCCTGGGTGGCTAAGTCGTTAAGCATCTGCCTTCGGCTGAGGTCATGGTCCCAGGGTCCTGGGATCAAGCCCCACATCGGGCTCCCTGCTTGGTGGGAAGCCTGCTTCTCCCTCTCCCACTCCCCCTGCTTGTCTTCCTGCTCTCACTGTCTCTCTCTCTGTCAGATAAATAAATAAATAAAATCTTTGGGGAAAAAAAAAAGAGTTCTCTATACAGTGTTGGTCATACTCCCTGGTGGGTTACATGTGCAGTAAATGCCTTTGCCCAGTCTGTAGCTTGTTTTTGTTCTTTTTTGTGTGTGTCTTGGATGAACTGAAGTTTTCCATTTTAACATAGTCCTGTCTATCAGTCTTTGTGTCATATATTTCCTTAAAAGTGCTTTAAGTTAAAAAGAAGGGCGATCTTGCTTCCTGCATGTAGGAAACAATTGAAGATGTTGAAGAGATGCTCAACAACCTCCCTGGTGTGACATCAGTTCACAGTCGTTTCTACGACCTCTCCAGTAAATACTATCAAACAGTCGGAAACCACGCGGCCTACTACAAAGATGCCCTGCGGTTTCTGGGCTGTGTCGACATCAAGGATCTGCCAGGTAACATGGAGCCATTAAAGTCCATGTCGAAGGAGCACGCTCTTGAGGCATGGTAGCAGGTCTCAGAAGTTACTCTGGTGTATCCATCCCTCATTGAAGAAAGCCCAGGTGGTAGAGGGTGGAAAGAGCCGTGTAAGCATCAGTTTCTCCCCGGGTCTGCCTTCAGCATTTAGCTCAAGTGAAAACGAGGCCGCGCCCTGTAGTCCTTCGTTGTTCCTTCTCCAGTCTTTCCTGTTCTCTGAATCAGAGGCCTTTGTGAGAAGCACCGCGACGTCAGCGTCTTGGCCCCTGCAGCATGAAGGGCATGGTGAAACCCTGCACCTGAGAATCTTGTGCCGGAAACTGAACAAGACCCAGGGGAATACCTTAGAAAAATCTTTCAAGTATCTGAGGAATGGAAAGAAAAATGAATGATAGTTTTGGGGAAAGTGCAAGGAGGGTGTTTAGAAATATGAACCCATTTTAGATGTTTCTCACAGTACACTGTTGAAGCTGTGGAGACCAGCAACTCCTAAAAATGGTAGTGCAGTTTTAATTCCTGCATCTTAAGAAAAACATACTGGAAAAAGCAAGTAACGCGGTCAGGAGAGTGGGGAATTGTTGTATGGGAACAGGAAGTAGGTTCACTCTATTCTGAAAAGAGGCTTGATGAGTTGACTTTAAGAGAAATAAGAGGTAATGCTTCCAGGAAGTAGATTAACTACTTAAATAGAAATAGAAAATATAAATACAGTCATGTATTTAGGTAGAAGTAAGTAAATGAATGAATGTGTTTCCCACAAAACCTGTATATGTGGTTCCAGGTATAATTTGAGTTGATCCAGTACTGTAAAAGAGAGGACTAATGGGGCACCCAGGTGGCTCAGTCGGTTAAGCATCCGACGCTGGGTTTTGGCTCAGGTCATGACCTTAGGGTCAGGGGATCGAGCCCCACGTCGGGCTCCGCACTGGACATGGGGCCTGCTTGAGATTCTCTCTCCCCCTCTGTCCCTCCCCACCTTCCCTCTCTAAAAAACAAAATACATAAAATAAAAATTGAAAAGATAAAAATTTAAAAAAAGGAAACGTGTTAAGGCTTTGTGATATAACCATTACAGGGAGTGGTTTCTTCACTTTTGGGGGGATTTTTATTTTTTTTATTTTTTTTTTTAAAGATTTTATTTATTTATTTGACA